GGAGACAAATGACACATTTTTTAATCAAAAGCAAGATAAATGAACATACTTTCAGATGGTATCTATATCTCCATATACCCCAAAATTAACGTGCACCCGATTCTACCCCGTCATGACTCATTAACATGGCTTGAAGAAAAGAAATCAGTACCATATAACGCAATTAGCTTGTTTTCTGTAGTCATAGTGGGTAGTCGTCTTGATAAAAACTCTAATGTTTGGATTTGTGAGAAAATATTTTATAGAATTTGTGTATCTTGCTCGTTTTAAGATAAGATATTTCCACTCTATAAAACGCATTTGTAGTTCCTACCATTGCGCTCAGAAGAGCGTAAAATGTTTATATTAAAAGAAAATAGGAACAGGAATGTCTAGCGTATGGTCATCTCCGTAAACTGCTGAATCTACATAAAAATATTAAAAAATGAGCAAATTAAATAGAGAGCTGATGAAAATGTCTTGGAGTTTGAGGACATCAGAAAGATATACCGATACCCCTGACTTTATGTCCCTACCTAACCCCCCCCCCCTTCCTCTCCCCCACCCAAAGCATTCAACGACCAATGCTGCTGCTCGGTGACATTCAGGAACACAAAACCATATTAAATATATTTTAAGCATTGTACTACACGTTCCTTAGTATTTACATACATATGAAACTATGGTCACTTAAAACGACACTAGACCATTGTGAAAGAGAAGCTTGAAGGAAGAATGCTGTACCGTCGGGACTTCACAATCACAACATGTAGATCTAGACAGACATTGAAAACAACAGGAGCCAGACACGACTGTACCGGTGGACGTACTCTTTATTACTGACCAGTAGTGACCACTCTTCTCTAAAATACGTGCCAGTGGTTACAGTTGCCAGGTCTTCCTAAATACTAAGGCAATAGAGGTGGTTTGCCTAATAGTAATGGACATTACAAATGCTGTGGGGCAGTAGAGCCAGATGTAGATAAAGAGTAACGTGGATGGACTACATTAAAATATGGACTGGTTTGGATATAGCAGAAGTGTGCAACATCAGCTCCAAACCGTGAAGAATGGAGGGTCATTACAGAAATGACACTTTCAGGTGTTAAAGATATGATTATTATAGTTGCTGTTATTTGTTCTCTATCACGCTCGAAAACTGAAGTTGACACAGCTTCCAGGATTCCAGGAGTAAAAGTTCATTTAAAATTATTTCTAATCGAAATAATGCGAAACCAATCCTAAACCAAAAGTGGAAAGAGAAGAGTAAGAATAGCCACCTGGACACCCCCCCCCCCTGTCCCTCTCTCCGAAAAAAGAAAAGGACATATCTGTATACCAAATGCGTACCTGGGCACCCATACTCCTGAACATCGTGTTGGAAGAATATAAGTCCATCGGATTCTTCGATGCTGCATGTCGGGCAAACATCATTCCGACCCAAAAGGTGCCATGGTCAGAAGCCCTGATGTTGTCTGGTATTCCAGGAAGATTGTTGGACAAGGGAGTGACTGACAGAAACGTGTTTGTTTCCAGACTGACACTGTTGAGGAAAGACAGATTATGATTGCCGGAAAAAGGGAAATAAAGTAAAGAAAAAGTAAGTAAATTAAAGTAAAGTACAGTAAAGTACAGTAAAGTACAGTAAAGAACAATATTTTAGCAGTACTTGTCCACAAAGCAAAGTCTGTCGTCTTTCTGGCATTACCTGACCACCCTGACTTGGGTTGACTCCACGACTAGCAAGTTCTTCTCGTCTGACGTCAGTTCAAGGCCATTGGGGAAGGAAAACCTGGGGCGTAGCTGGTTCACTGCTCCAGAGCTAGGGATGAAGGCGATGAGCCTGAGAACAGAAATGTGAGAGTACAGATAAAAATTATAGTAAACATTTATATATTGCAATGAAAACAGGCCCTTTTCTCTTTAAATTTAAATTTATGTTTTTATGCCTCATCAACAAAAACAACAGCAGCATCAACAACAACAACAACAACAACAACAACAACAACAACAACAACAAATACTACTACTACTACTACTACTACT